ATCACTATTTATTTGCTTACGGAATAATACAGTAGATACGTATTTCTCGCTCTCGATATCATTTATTTCTTTCTTTCCTTCAGATAATTTCCTTCGGTTAACGCTATGTCCAAAAGAGTCTTGATGGCATCCACATTCTTTGATTTCATTTCACCGAGATTATTTAAAAACGTAAACTTGGCCAATGTGGTGACAAACGCATTTCGCTCGAGTTCCATGTCGAAGAGACAAATGATGCGAATCGCAAGCTTAAATCCTTCCAAGGCGAGATTCGCAGTCTCCATGTCTTCGGTATCCTGGAGTGGTCCCGATAATCCGGCAAGGACAGGCATCCATGCTACCTCAAACATGGGACGAACGTGCTCAAAATGCGAAGCACTATAGAAGGTTGTGTTGGCCGTATATATACCGCGACGTTGAGCTCTGAGCATGGATTTGAACAAGGTCTGGACAATCAGAGAACCCGTTGTGAGAAAACCGTTTCGCTCAACCAATTAAAAAACAAAAATGCAACATAAACGCCATAATAAACACCTCTGTTTTGTTGGCCATTTCCTTCAAGACGGCTTGATGCGCAGCAGCCTTCTTGTAATCTCTACCTGCGTTGACTATCACACTACCTATATTTGAGATGCCGATTCTTCCAGGCGAAGGTAAATTCTGTTGCATTAGCGCGGCATCGTGCTCATCTTTCATCTTTATTTCGTTATTCTGAATCTCATCGTAGGTGGCGGTCAAAAATTCTTCGGGTAAATCCGAGCTATCATTAATCCCACGATTATTTCTTATGAATTCATCTTTTGTCATTCGACGCTTGATTTGCGGGTTGTGAAGATCGGTATTCAACATGATGACCGAATACGCTAGTACATAGGCGGTGTCTAAAAAATTGAGGATTGCAAATTTACCAATTATGCCGACATTCTTCCGTTATATTTAAAAGCAAGCAAGAAATTCGTAGATACCGGCATTGGCAAATTGCGAGGGGTTCCCGTCTACATAACGTTCGGCGAATTTCAACATAAATCGATCGATTTTCTGAGCTTCACCAGGTAATCGAAATGATTGCAAAAAATTTCGCAATGCATCGACAAAATTCATATTCTTAAAATCCATAAGGTCAACGAATGCGTGCATGGTGGCGATATTATCCGCATCGCTAAATGCGAGGAAGTGCAAGAGATTTCTATTATTTAGGATGCCATGTGATCGAAAGCATGAATTGAACAAGGAGACTCACCCTTCTCCCAAATATTCCCCGATCATCGCCTTGCTTAAACCCTCGGTAGCGAGCAAGAATTTTGCAATCTCGGAGGGCTCTTCGCTTTTAATGAAACCTGCAGACACTAATGAATTGATACCCTGTTAAATTGAATTGTGTAAATATTTAATCAAAAAAGAAAAAAAAAAGGTTTGCGATGGGTCGAAAGGTGCGTATAAAATAAGGAATAAATACAAACTTTTTTAGGTTTGAAATTGAACATCTTGATTCCATCTTGAAGCGCCTGTTTTCGATGTTTCAGGTTCCCAAATTCCTCCGGATCATCTAGAGGCTTCGCCACTTTTGCATCCGTGGAAACGCTATGCATTGATCCAGGGACAGACATGGTGGACGACGATGGCGATGATTTATTTGTGAACACAGGTTGAGGAGTAACAAACTCGACGGTCTCTTCGCTCTTTCGGGGCGAATCCTCTTTCTCATCCTCCACACTCTCCGACGAAGGTTTGTTGCCGCACCACGCCACTAGCGAGCGCAAAATAGACACCAGACATTCGAGGCCTTGATACTTTAATGCCAGTTCGTCGGGAAGGCTTGTGTGAAATTGTGAAGACGTTGACACTGTTATGGCCTTGGTGGAAAGGGAAGGTGGAATGACCACATTACCCGAAGATGATATGCTAGCGAGCGATGTTGTAGACCCGTTATTCGGTGAATCCTTATCAGTATTGTTGGCCACAGAGTTGGGGGAAGACGTGACGGTTGTATAGGTGGTTGTTATCTTGGAAACAATGTTCACGATTCTTAGATGACAAAAGGAACCGGTTAGCATGATGGCCACTGCAAACACACAAAGAGTCCCACTCGTGCGCCTGTCTTACCGTTCGTAAGTGTTATCTAATGCCTCTCTGTCGCAATCGTAATTTAAATAA